ATTCTCAAGGTAGATTTAGTGAACTACGAATATTCTCAGATATTTTCAGATCTCCTATGGCACTTATTTTACATCATTATATATGTGTCTATGCCGTGTTAATAGAATAATTCTTTTGGATTTAAATTGTTTTAAGAAGAGACAGTTAAGATAGTTTATTTTCCACAGGAAACACATTTTAGACCTATGCAAATTAAATATTTATAAAACTAACAGAAGTGAAAAGTAGATTATGTATTTATGATCAGAAATAATGTAGCATTTCTTCATTTAAAAACTATTCTGGGGGCCGGCCTGGTGACATGGTGGTTGAGTTTGTGCACTCTGCTTCGGTGGCCCAGGGTTTGCAGGTTTGGATCACAGGCACCGACCCATGCTGTGGCAGCATCCCACATACAAAGCAGAGGAAGATTGGCATGGATGCTAGCTCAGGGCCAATCTTCCTCACCAAAAAAGGAAAAACAAACTATTCTGGAGATTGGATCAAGATGGAGATACCTGTTTCCCCATTCCACCCCAAATTCCCAGAAATATGAGGAATTTTTCAAGAGGAAATTCATAATAGTGCTAGAAAACAATAGTTATATATAGGCGAGAATTTTCAAAAGAGCTCTGAAAAAATGCAAAAAGAGGAGCCCCAAATTTAAAATATATAGGTGTAGATGACTGCTGCTTCTGTATCCCTCTACCACAGCAGCAACCAGCTCGATAACGTGCCCTGTATGGCTTCTCTCACTTCCCCATTTCACTCTCTCTCCCCACTCACTGGCTTCTGCTTCCTGAGATCACCTCCTAGATAAACTTCTTGTACCCCAGTTTTGGGTTCAAGCATCTGATATTGGAGGAACCCAGATGAGTCTTGGTGTTTTCTCAAGATCTAGGGCCTCACTTCTAACTTCCTTGTCTCTCTCTAACTCTCTTTCTCTTTGTCTCTCCATATTCCATCCAGCATATTCACAATTAAACTCAGTATCATTGTTTCAAACGTGTCTTCCCAACTTCTCACTCACCTTGGGTTCATCCTTGACCTTCTCCTATCACAGCTCACATACCCACTTAATTTCAAGCCCAGTCATTTCTACTTATCAAGTTCACTCTCATCCTTCTGCATCCTACCCACAGCTGCCACATTGGTTCCGATCTAACAGCCTCACGCATGGACATTATAAAAGGTTCCAGATGGATAACTCAAGTTCCCCTCTCTCCCCTCCATAATTTGTCATCTAATCTTCCCGAAGCTCTGGTCATATTGTAGCCCCACTCAAAAGACTTCTATGGCATCAACGTTTACAAAATAAAGCCCTCTACAACTTGATCTCAACTACCTTTCCTCACAACCTCACTCATGTATCCCAAGAGCCATCCCAACTCAACCACTCATCACTAACTCTGAAAGTGTCATGTTTTCCCAGCTCTGTGCCTTTGCTCACTCTGTCGCCTAAACCTAGAAAGCTCTGAGCCACCTTTGACCATTTTCAAAACCTACCTTGCGTCAAATACCACTCTTCCAAGAAGCCTTCATTGATTCTCCCAAATAGAAACATACCCCTTTTCAGATCTCCTATGGCACTTAAATTTTTCTCTTCTTGGCACTCATCACTTGTCTTACATTAGAGTATATTTTACCTTAAAGTGCATAAATCCTAAGCTTGATTAATTTTTATACATATATATCACCCTTGTAATCCTCTACCCAGATCAGATATAGAACATATCCAGCATACCAGAAGGTTTCTGTGTGCCCCTTGCAGTCAAAATCCCCATCCAAGGGTAATCTCTATTCTGACTTACCATAGATTAGTTTTGCCCATTTTCGAATTTCACATAAATGGAGTCATATAGTATGTACTCTTTTTGCATCTGGCTTCTTTCCACCAACATCATGTCTCTGAGATTCATCCAGGTCATGTGTATCAATTGTGTGTGATTCTTTTATTGTAGAGCAGTATTCTACGGTGTGGCTATACCAAAATTTATTTATCCATTCTACTGTAAATGGACATTTCTCAGTGTTTTGCCTATTACAAATAAGGCTCCATGGACATTTTTGTACATGTCTTTTGTTGGACATAGGTACTCATTTTTCATCTCAGGAACAGAGTACTGGGCCTCAGGGTATTGAATGTATAGCTTTGGAGTGGTTATACCAATTTATACCCTAAAAGCAATGTAAGAGAGTTCCAGTAGCTCCATTCTTGGCAACATTTGTTATTGTCAGAGATTTTTTTAGCCCTTCTAGTGGCTATGCTGTCATTTCTACATTGAATTACAACCACAAACGTCAACATTTACATAGGGCTTAACAATTTGAAAAAATTTTTAAAGTATAATATCTCAATGCATATTCCCTACAGCCCTATAAGTAAGCAAGGTTGTTGTTGTTAGTGCCATCAGGTTGGTTCCAACTCCTAGTGACACTGCGTACAGAAGAGCACAACTCTGCTCGGGCTTTTTGTGCCATCCTCTCACCTCCAGCACTATATCAGACAATATTCTGCTGCCAGTCATAGAATTTTCATGACCAATTTTTTTGGAAGTGGGTGACCAGGTCCTTCTTCCTAGTCTGTTTTGTTTTTTTTTTTCCTGAGGAAGATTTACCCTGAGCTAACATCTGTGCCAATCTTCCTCCACTTTATATGTGTGTCACCACCACAGCATGGTTGAGGAGTGGTGTAGGTTTGTGCCTGGAATCTGAACCCACAACCCTGGGCTGCTGAAGCTGAGCACATCAAACTTAACCACTACATCATGGGGCTGGCCCTATAGTCTGTCTTAGTCTGGAAGCTCTGCTGAAACCTGCCCACAATGAATGACCCTGCTGAAATACCAGTGAAATAAAAGTGGAACAGCTTTCAGCATCACAGCAACATGCAGCCACCACAGTATGACAACCAACAGATGGGTGGTGTGGTTCCCTCACTGAGAAACAAACCCAGGCCATGGCAGTGAGAGGTCTGAATCTTAACCATTAGACCACCAGGCTGGCTAAGTAAGCAGGGAGAGTCCCATTGTTATCGTTGTTTTACAGATGAGGAAACAAAGGCTCAGAGAGGTTAAGCAGCTTGTCCAGGGCCATAATCCAGTACACAGCAGAGACTCTGAGTCCTGCACATCCACCATGCTACCCTGTTTATAGTTACTTGGGTACACGTTTTCTATCCTCTGGTTTACTAACAGCTCTATGTGTTTAGGCCTTACTTTCCAGTTATCACTATTTAATAAATGAATAAATGAACTTAAATATAAAATTGAAATTTCTCTGTCTATAGAGAAAAACTTTACAGTTGGTTATACTAACATAATGAATAAGAAGCACTATCATTTACTACCTGAATCACAAAGGATATTATTTCAGATCCACAGATCCACAAATATCCAAACATTTAGCTCCATTTAATCACTTTTTGGAATGTTGGAGAATTTGAAAAAAATTTAAATCCTCTCTTTGAGGGATTATTTTAAACTCACTTATTTTAACTATTATTAAGCAGATCCAAATATATAAAAAATATTTGGGTTCTGGGGCCGGCCCGGGGGTGCAGCGGTTAAGTGAGCACATTCCACTTTGGCGGCCCAGGGTTCGCTGGTTCGGATCCTGGGTGCAGACATGGCACCGCTTGGCAAGCCATGCTGTGGTAGGCGTCCCACATATAAAGTAGAGGAAGATGGGCACGGATGTTAGCTCAGGGCCAGTCTTCCTCAGCAAAAAGAGGAGGATTGGCAGCAGATGTGAGCTCAGGGCTAATCTTCCTCAAAAAAAAAAAAAAAATTGGGGTTCCTAAATCAACCAGATTTCAGTTTTCTATTTTGCACATAGAACACCAAATCTGGTATCTTCACATGTGTTATTTTCCTTATGTAAAGCTAATAAATATTCTATGGAATAGTAAAGAAAATAAATACCAATAAAACCATAAATGCACAGATGTCCTAAATTTCAGCAACTTTAGGTGGTTTATTAAAAGATCATTTGATATTCTTTATCATCATCTCTCGGGATAGTTTGACATCATTCAAAAGATTGTAATGAGTTGTCAATAAGTCAGTGGCTATCTATATCACCAAGCATATGTTTCAGAAGATACACAGCAAAGCACAGAATAATCCAATTACTTTTCACATGATCAGAAACCACAGGTGACACATTTAAGTTATCTGACATCCATGGATAGCCAGACCTTTGTGTACCCTACAAATTTCCACTTATGCTCAAGAAGAATGTTACCACATGTTCTGTCCACTCTAAGTTGAAAGCTAATGTGTACATCTCATATTATCTACTTTTATTTGTCTATGTATGTGCATCATTTCAAACATATTCATACTATTTTATAGGTAAAACATTCGCTAGCTAAAATTTCTTACTTTTGAGATATAGGGAAAATAATAAAAAAGTTTTAAAATATATTTTTGAGGCAGAGATTGTAAATGAAAACTATAGACAATTAAACTCATAAAACATACTTTGACTTTCTTTATCAGATATTTCATGTCAAAACTGGCCTTTGGTCTGAGTACTTATCTCTCTGAGGCCAAAGAATATTTCCTGCCTCAATTACTCAACTCCTCTTGGGATGTGAACACATCCATATGTGCCTTGACACATTCCAAGGTGATCACGCAATTCATTTGTAGCATGCCAGGGTATTTATAGCTCAAGCCTGTTATAAGACATAACAAATTCATAGCACACTAAAGGTATCTGAGAATGTCTTGTGATTTCCAGAATATGATCAGATATAGGGGAACGTGTTTAATACAAGTTTCTGTCTAGTATGCTAGATGAACTTGATTTCTAGAAAAACAAAAAAGCTATTTAAGTAAATCTTCTAGATATAATCATTCCACAGTTTCCTCATGGAAAAGCATTATAGATGTTTAACTATAGTCACTTGCCTTTTGGACCTGCTTCCTTTCAATTCTACTCCCCGAAATTCATTTTTCAAGTTCACACATGACTGTTAAAAAAAATCATGGCTCTCAGTAACAAATGAACATACCTTTCATGCATATAGTCAACTCCTAGCAACAGCTGGACAAACCATTCTATTATTTGACTGTCTGGAAAGGTTTTTCCAGCTTCTTTATATTCCTGAATTTTACAGTCCAGATCTCGGCCCTGAAACAAAATAGAATAAATTTCATCTTTTTTTTCAGTTATAAGATGTTCAAAACAAGCTCTCTCAATAACAGCTAATACACAGCAGTCACTGTTTATCATAAGACAGTGAGGGCATACTGTCACTCGGTAACTATCACCGACAAAGATTCTCTCCTTGACCAAACTCTAACCAGGCTTCTCAGAGCCCTCTTCTCGACTGGGCCTCACCCTTGGCCTATAAAGACTTGAACAAATACTAACCTATTTCTAACAGATCAAGGCCACATCCCTAGGATGATCCCAGGCCCTCTTAAAGTGCCTGCCTGAGAAAACTCAAGGCTGCCAAAAGAATGCACTGTTTGTTCCAGCCCACAGCTCAGGAGAGAGCCCCCGTCTCCCAGTCTCTGTGGGAGGGCAGGAGCCTAACTTCTACAAGCACCAGCTAGCAAACCCAGATGCACAGGGACCAATCCTCTTCCTGCCCTTTATAATTTTTCACTTCCCTAACTCTGCTCAGGCCCATACTGTTCACCCTATTCTCCCTTTAAATTGTCCAGTTACTTCTGCACATATCACAATGGAGCTCTGCTCTTTCCCCCACTGTCAGTAGTTACTGAATAAACTGTTTTCACTGCCTTAAGTCATGTCTGGCTGTGATTATCTTTGACATCACTCAAGGACAAAACCCTTTTAAAATGTTTTTATTTTTATTTTATTTTATTTTTGAGGGAGATTAGCCCTGAGCTAACTACTGCCAGTCCTCCTCTCCTTTGCTGAGGAAGCCCGGCCCTGAGCCAACATCCGTGCCCATCCTCCTCCACTCCACATGTGGGACGCCCACCACAGCATGGCGTGCCAAGTGGTGCCATGTCCTCACCCGGCATCCGAACCGGCGAACCCCAGGCTGCTGAGAAGCAGAACATGCAAATTTAACCACTGCGCCACTGGGCTGGCCCCTAAAATGTTTTTATTTTTATTACATTACCTAAATGTTACCTAAAACTTTATTTTTATTACATTACATTACATATTTGCCCACATAAGCACCTATATAGCTAGGAATAACTTTCATATGCTTAGTGATTAATTTAACTGTAGAATCCTAACATGTACACAAATTAAAACTATAAAGCCACTAAAATTCAAATTCGTGATATTAATTTAACATAAAGTGATGATGTTTTGGTGAAACTAAATCAGTGCTTATATTGTCCACACAAGGCTGGCTGCTGGAGTATAGATTCTTTTTGGCTTGATATGCCCACACTAATGTGTGCCTTGGGATGACTTAACTCTCTTTTTCTCAATTTAACTACAGCAAAACTCTCAGGAATACAGCTACTATTGATTTATGTAGGGTCCAAACCCACCACTTAAGCATTTAGTCAGTCTCTGTCCTTCCATTCACTGGTGAAATGTAAAAGAATAATATTTGGTTCCTAAAAGTAATCATGATCACAAAGACAAACACCTAAAATTGTGGGCCAGTGTCTGATACCAGACCCTTTCTGACTATGCTAACATTAATGTATTTCAAAGCATAGAAATGAAAACACATAATGTTAAATTCTCTTGAAGAACCCCTAGACCTGATCCCTTTGATCTTAAAACACTGAAAAATTAGCGACAGTTTGAGAAGTGTTTCTCCAAAGAAAAGGATGGGTTAAATGCAACTGTCTGGTCCTTGACGAACGCCAACAACACAGGCCCGTGAAGAGGAGAGGTACTTGCCACATCCATAAGGAGCATGAGAACCAAACATTAAGCTACTCACAGACTATTCCCGACAGAGTCGTCATCGTTCAATACAAAGGAAAAGCATTTATAGGTAGTGAAATAATCAAAGGGAAATAACTTCTAATCAAACAACATGAGGTCAACTGACTAACTCATTTGTAATGCATCTTTTATTTCCTTTCAGGGAAATGTGCAAATATTTGTCTAGTATGTTCTCTCCTTCCACACAGGGCATGAGAAGTCAAAAGTGGCATATCAAACCTTCAACTTGCTCCCTCACTGAAAATCAATTTCTTGCTAGATTTTCTAGGCCAAGGAGAACAAAGCTTGCTGGAATTCAAAAATACAGTGAATCGAATATTTGACTCCTTGTCAAAAAGACCATCATTTCCTTCTTCTTCTCCAAATCTGCCTTTATATCCCTTCTCTTTTTAATCCTAGAGTTTATCAAAGTTCTGTTGGATCATACAAGGTGTACCATCCAAATGTTTCCATAAGTTGCACAAAACATTTTTTGACAATAGATTACGATAACATCCTGTAAAGTAGACACGAAAGCCTTTCAGATGAAAGGTTTGTTGTAAATGTATATATTTTTCCAAGCCCAGTTTTCCTTTTCTATTCATGGAGACTCTAGAAAACCTTTCTCTCACTCAAAAAAAGAAAAAAAATTTAAAACAATATCTCCTTTCAATATCCCATTTAGATTCTCTGAATATGATAAAACATGTCCAGTGTCAGAAAGATAATTAACTACGTGTTGCCATCTTCTTCCTGAATAGTTTCAGATGAAGAGTGACAGAAAGAGAGAAAGAAGTACGGAGGGAGGGCAGGGAGGAGGGAGGAGGATGGAAGGAAGGAAGGGAGGAGGGAGGGAAGAAGAAATGAAAAAAAAAAAACGAAGAAAAACTTACCTTAAAGAAATATCAGTGAATCTACCTGCTTCAATCCAATGTTTCTCACTTTAGGAAAGTCACACATAAGTACGGTTGTCCTTGTGAAAACAGCCTTTGCATATGTAATTGTCTGCCCCAATTGTAATAATACTGAAATTTGGAGAAATTTGTCTGTGCCTTAAAATAGCATTCTTTTTAGGAATTTATCCTCAAACTGCAATGCTGCTTTTCATTTCCTATAGTCATTTTTAAACTGTGCTGGTTGAAGAAATATGAATTTCTACATATTTTGCATCAGATTTGGTATATTTTCTTTGTGAGGGAGCAGAATTATTTTCTCTGTGTGTTATCTTGCCATAATGGGAGCACCCTCCCTGGGTGACATTTATTGTTAGTCTGACAATCACCTCCTTATGCTGTCTCCTCAAGTAGTGAGTAGAAGTTGCTTGTCTGTTTCCTGCATTGATATTAAGTGTGTGCATGATTTCTTGTGACTATATGAATATATATTGAGAGTATTGAAAAAAAAATAGGGTCTTCAATAGTAGGTATCATAATGGAATGTCAAAAGGAGGTACACGAACTCCCCTTTGCTCTCTGGGTAGAACCATAAGAAGAAGAAACATACTTGTTCTTAGTATTAAGCAAGGGACGTGTTCAGTCAACAAGAAGATAGAACGCCAAAAGATTAAATTAATCAGAGAGCTGGCTCTCATCCTCCTCAAGTTACTCCTCCTATAATCTTCATTTTGCATGTTGATCTCCAGGAAAAACTATTTGTTTTGTATTTACTTTGTTCTTTAATAAACACTCTGTAGATTTTCTTAGGATTTAATTAAGGTAGACAAGTCACTCACAGATTAAGACAATAAATTACACTTTTATATCACAAAAAAAGAATATAATTTTTGTGAAGCAGTCTGATTTTAACTTAGCAATATGAAAAGCATTTATTACCTTCATTCTCTAAGCCATCTTTCAAGTAAAAGTCAAACGTTTTTCATGAAATGTCACACCTCGGTTTAAGAAGTTCTTATTACAGTGTCTGTAGGTGCATTCTGTTTTCTTAACTTTATCTTTGAGAAATATTTAGTGATGAATTTTATTGCTAAAAAAACTTTAATGAAAAGAGTATTGACTTTAACTTGAACCACTATTAATGTTGCCCTAAGTCTATATTGCTGACAGAAATGCTCTCCTTCACTAATCTCACCCCTCGAAAGTTGCAATGAAAAACTTGATGTTAACTTCTAAGGTTTTGAAAATCCATAACCCAAAATGTACCATTTGATGGATTATGGTGTCTCTTCCCTCTCCCCATCCCAGTTAGCCAAGACCAGATTGTCTTTGAAATGCCAAGACCTTGAAGAAATGAAGAACAACACAAACACAGTTTCTGAACTCTATCTTTGATTGCTTTTAAAAAGTTTTAAATCCTAAAAGGATTTGATTAAAAAGAACTAATCCATGTTTTTGTAAGTTGTCAATAGCAGCACTTACAGCCAGTTTAAAAGACCAAAGAAGAGCCTTCTCAGAAGCCTGAATACAACAAAACTGCAATGTAGGAAGCAAATACCAAGGACAAAATAGTCTCAGGATTTGGGGGCTGGAAGGAGCTTGCAAGATTGTCCTGCTCTACCTCCTCATTTAAAAATGAAACGGCTGCCCCTTACTAATTCACTGGGTTGACATCTCAAAGTGATGTTCTCTCACCCTCCTTTAAATAAGTTTCCACATCTCCTTTAAATAAGTTTCTAATACATCCTTTCAGTGGACTTCAAATTTTAGCATTCATCAGAATCATTCAAGTTGCTAGTTTAAAATGCACATTCCTGGGCCATATCAATGGAGACTCCGATTCAATAAATCTGGAGAGGACCAAGGAATCTGTATTTTTTAACAAGCATCCTAAGTGATTCTGGGATAGGCGGTCCATGGACCACACTTTAAGAAAATGCTGCTGGGGCTGGCCAGATGGCTTAGTGGTTAAAGTTCCACGTGCTCTGCTTCAGCAGCCCAGGTTCTCGGGTTTGGATCCCAGGCATGGACCTACATCACTCACCAGCCACGCTGTGACAGTGACTCACATACAAAAAATGGAGGAAGATTGGCACAGATGTTAGCTGAGGGTGAATCTTCCTCAATAAAAAAAATTAAAAAGAAAAAAATTAAAAAGAAAACACTGCTGGATGATAAGACAAAGGGGTCATACATACTTAATACTTCACTCATCAATGGAAACATTTTGTCCAATAGCTCGAAAAATTCTGAGGGCAAAAAGTGCACTTAGGAAAGTAAAGGTTGAATATGAATCATTTTTTAATGACACATTTTTTAAAGCCTGTAACAATACTCAGGAGAACACCACTGAACGGAGGTGCAAGG